TTTCTTCCTGCAGTCAGAGCTGGAGCGGCCCCCCCCGCCCCCTCCCCGGCCCAAGGTGATGGCCGTCCCCTACGAGTCCCAGTCCAGCCCCACGGCAACCCACGGCTCTTCCCCACGCTCCCTCTGGCCCACCAGCGGCCCCACAGAACGCTCGTACGAGTACAAGCCCTACGGCGGGCAGATGGGCCGGGCCGGCTCGCCGCGGCTGCCGACGGAGGGCTCGGGGTCTCAGGCCTTCTTCCCAGAGAGGGGGTCATCGCCACGGCCTCCTGTGCCGCCCCCGTACGAGAGCCACAGCCTGTACCCCTCTGCTGTGCCGAGCAACTTCGCACCCTTCAGAGCTCAAGGTAACACTCAGGCAGGTCTTCGGGACGGGGAGAGGGGAGAGGTGGGTTATTTTGAGGTGGTAACAGGGCAGGAGGGGGAACGGGCAATGGGGAAGGTCAGACAGAAGGGCGCCCCTCTCTCCTCCGGCATTCTGTCCCCTCCAGAAGGGCTCGGGAGTCGCTCCGGGCGATAGCTAAGCCTTGCGAGTCCATTTCACAGTTTCACTCTGTCTGCTCTGGTGTGGTTCATTTTCAAGTCCCCCGTAACAATATCCGTATCCACACCCAGGAGGAAAATGGCCTAGACTTTGGAAACATGGACCTAAGCCACACTGGCTGGGGAGTGTGGGTGTTGTAGTCTGAAACAGCAAAGTTCCAAAGCTGGGGAATGTCCTCAAGTAAAGGGGGGCTCCTGTACCAATTGTTGTGTGTGTTTGTTTCTACAGACGACCTGGTGATCCGGAGAAAGACGCCGAAGGGGTGGAACGAATCTGACCTGGACGTGGCTTATGAGAAAAAGGGTTCCCATTCCCTCGGCTATGAGCGTCAGTCGGGGGGGGCAGCAGGTGGGGGGGTGAGGGAAAGGCCGGGAGGGTTGCCGGTCTTTAAAGGGAGGAAATCCAGAGTGCAGGAAGTGCCGTTTGGAAAATAATTTATTCCGAAGACCTTTTAATGGGGTTTTAAAAATAACCTGTGCCTGTTGCAATGTTGCAGAAGGACAAGGAAATTGTTGAATTAGTTGTATTGTTACTTGTTACTTTCTTCATCCTGGGGGGGGAAAACACCACAAACTCTGGGGGTTGAAGTAAAATTGTATCAAATGGGACCACTTCCTCTCCAAATGCCTTAAAATGCCCTTCAAAGCCATTTTTCAAAGTAACAGAAAAACATGGCTTGTTATACCAGCCCTTGACTTTGATGCTGCTTGTTATGTTCGTATTGAAAAGCAACTTTGTTGCACACTCATTACCAAAGCCACTAACTAGCTACACACAACTCTTTGCTTGTATCTCGCTGCTCCCATGCTCTGCGTGAAGCAGACGGAAGCAGATCTGCCATGACAGGCAACCTTATGCCAGGATGATGCCCCTTCGGGATGGGCGGGCAGGTGGGCATTTGATCTCCAGTAACGATGCTGCCTTCTGCAGGGGGAGAGGCTCACCTGGGCCTGCGCCCGAGCGCGCCAGGGCTCCATTTGGCTCCCTGGAGAGAATCGAGTCTCGACGGGGGCATTGGACAAGGCAAGGTAAGCCCCTGGCGCCCTCGGCTGCTCCATGACTTGAGAAAGTTACCTCTGCCCACGCACAGAGTGGAGTTCTTTACTAACCTTGATTTTAAGTTTGTTTTATTATCTCTTCCATGCATGGTCACCTTGTTTTTCAAGGTAAGCCAAAGTGGTTTGTCTCTGCTCGGCTTCAGGAAAATTGCAACCGTGAATGCTTTTAGACTGAGCTTGCAAAAGTAACCGTCCCCTTTTTGGGATGCCAAACACTGGCCACGCTGGCCCTGGATTCTGGGTAATGTAATCCAGAAACTGGATTTCTCTATGCTCTAGTTCAAACCTCCGAATAAGACCTGAAGCAAAGTTCTGGGATCTGGCGCTAAGGAGAGATTTTTAGATTTGCAATTTGGGGCATCATATGATACAGGCTGTCTGGGGAAGGGGCAGGGTGTGGGAGGTGAGTTCACAGAAGAGAGTGGGGGGGAAACAGGCCCCCAGTGCTGTGGGTGCATGAAAACTTCACCATTGGCTTCCTTTCCCCTAGGAGGAGCATTATGGGGTGCACAGTGCCACGCTGCCCCGAAACTACAAGGCATTCCCGCCGGCCCCGGAGAGGCGTCAGGAAAGTTCCTTCCGCCGGTCCCTCACCGCCAACCAGGCCGGGACCCTGCCCCGCAACTGGCAGCCGATCTCCCGCATCCCCATGCCACCCCCCAGCCCCCAGGGCAGCCTCCCCAAACGCCACAAGCCCCTGCCCCTCTCCATGATCTTCAAGCTGCAGAACGCCTTCTGGGAGTACGGAGCATCGGGCACGAAGCTTCCCCCCTTTCAGGGGCCCCCGGGGGCTCCGCTTCTCCTCCGTTCCCTCCAGAAGCAGGTGATGCAGCAACCCCAGCACCAGGCCAGGATGGCCCCACCTGGGAGCGAAGGTAGGTGCCAGGCATGGAAGGTTCCTTCTGGAAAGGGGTTCGGTGCTTCTAATGCTCAGACGGGACCACGTTTGGCCTGGTTGCATTTTGGTGCCTTTCCCACGGTTGCCTGGGCAGCTCCGATGACCGGTCCTGGCGGGACAGAGGCAGCCCTCGTGATCAGAGGACCTGTTTTAGTGTTTGGTGGGCCGTTCTCATGGAGAGGATGACCTGGCCAGCCCTGGGACTCTGCCCCAGCCTGTCAGAAGGAGAAAAGCCCTCTAAGAAGCATCACGGGGCTGCGTAGAGAATCTGGGCCCCGAAAAGAGATTTAGATGCCAGAGGGATGATTCCTGTACCCCCCCGTACATTCTTTGATATTCCAGATATCTACTACATCTCTGTGGGGGCAAGTTGGGGGGGGTGCTGCAAAGCCCTATTTATTCTGCCCACATCTATAAAAAACTTGGAGCTGAAGATTTTGCAAAGCAATGTAGAGCAAGAATAAAACAAACAGTATACACTCTCCCCCCCCCATCCACCCAAATGAACCAAGGAAATGGTGGTTTCCTGAGCCAGACCTGTGGTCCATGTAGCCCAGAAGGGTCAGTTCTGACCGGTAGCCATAACCAGCTTCAAGGCAAACGAGAGCTGGAACAGAGGGGGCTCCATGAGGGTCGAAGTTCAGCCTGTCCTTTCCTGGGAAATCGAGCTCCCTTGGCAGTCCAGCATTATTCCCCCACTCACTCCCCCACCCCTCTCTCCCTCCCCTCAGGAAATGGCTTCCCCAGGGCTGCCAACGCAGCAGCCGAGCCTGTCCGGGTGATCCCCATCATCCTTACGCCGAGCGAGCCGGAGCCGGAGCCGGAGCTGGAGAATCTTCCGTCGGTCACAGAGCCAGCAGAGATGGATGAATTCGCCCGGCCGCTGAGCCCCACTCGGCTGCAGCCCGTCCTGCCTCCTGAGGCCCAGAAAGTGCCCGAGTTTGAGGAGGTGGCTCGTGTCCTGGCAGAGATGCCCCGTCCCTTGAAGCGGCGTGGCTCCATGGAGCAGAGCCCCAGCCCGGCTCTGCCGCCCACCCACAAGAAGCAGTACCAGCAGATCATCAGCCGCCTCTTCCACCACCAGCCCCACAAAGAGGAGGCGGCCCCCGTGGGAGAAGCCCCTGGTGGGGCACAGACCGAGCTGCCCCCCATCACAGAGGCCGCGGAGCAGAAGGCCCCGGGGATGTCCGTGGCATCCGTGGCACCGGCCCCTGCCCCAGCAGCTGCAGCAGCGTCCCCTCCGGCGCCACCCATCCCACCTCCTCCCGAGAGCCCGGCTGCTCCCCTCACGCCTTTGCCCAGCCCGGTAAGTCTGCACCGGGGCTCAGGGTGGGTGGATGGGTGGGTGGGAACGGGTGCGTGGGTGGGAACCCCTACAGTATACTGTATATATATATATACACTGCAGCAGCAGCAGCAGTAGTAACAATAACCTTAGAACGGCAGAGCTGGAAGGGACCCCCAGGGATCATCCAGTCCAGCCTCTGTCAAGGGAGGCCCCAACGGGGGAATCGAACTTCCAACCAAGCCACTGAGCTACCCAGAAGTATTAACTGTTTTTATCTTAAGTGTTGTCTTCTTAATGATGTAAGCCACCTTGGGCCCTTTTAAGGAGAAAGGTGGGGTAAAAATATTTTAAATAAATAAATAAAAATATTTTTTTCCTGCTGTCACTCAAGGGACAAAAACAGATTATCTCCAGCATCTCCACTAAAAAAACCGAGAGCCAGAAGTAATCCTTCTCTCCCTGGGAGCTGCTCTGCATCAAGCTAGATGGCCATGCCCACAGCAGCTTCTCAGGCTCCGTGTCTAAAACGGAAGATGCTGGGGGGGGGGGCGAACCCTGCTGCCCTCTACTCTGGTAGCAAGTGTCTGCATGAATCACTCCGTACATGCTCAGAGGCACTCTGGCCCTGAGAAGGGCTTCTTCTGTTTCTGGGCGGAAGCCAAACTTTGTCACACGCATGGCAATGGCCATGGGGGGGGACGTCTTTTGTTAAACTTTCCCCATCAACCTGGCCTCCTCTGTGTCCGCAGGAGAAACGCTCCGTGCTACGCAAACTCTCTTCCCCACGGAAGCGGCTGCTGAAAAGGGCCCGACTCAACCCCTTGGTCCTGCTTCTCGACGCAGCCCTGACTGGAGAACTGGAGGTGGTGAAGGAGGCAGTGGAGGAAGTAAGCTTGCAACGTACACAGCCCGGGAACATTTTATCTCTGGTGCCTTTAGCAGCAGGAGGAAAGGGGCTCCTTCGCCCGACCCCTCCAGCAGGCATATTCTTGCAGCCATGATGGGCCCTGGGGGATTCTGGAAGGTGACGTTCCAAACATGTCTATGCTTTCTGTAAAAAGAAAAGGGGTGCCTGGTTCTGCTTCCAACCCCATCATCCCCATACTGACATTGCAACAACCCTGTTGAGCTAGAGAGAGAGAGAGATTGACTAGCAAAGAGCTGCCCTCTGTGAATAAAGTCAATCTGGAATGACACTCAAGTTGGAAAAAGAGGTGGAGAGGATTTCCTTGGAACCAGGAAGGGGGGGGTGCTTTGCAAGACTGGTGGCCGGCTCTTGAAAATTTGGCTTGAAAGCTCAAAAACCCAATAGGAGGTCTTAAAGAGAAATATCTGTTCTATGCCAACAGCTGAACGATCCTAGCCAGCCCAATGACGAGGGGATTACCGCACTCCACAATGCCATTTGTGGGGCCAATTACAACATTGTGGACTTCCTCATCAACATTGGGGCCAACGTCAACTCCCCAGACAGCCATGGATGGTACGCTCTACCCTACCTGCCTTCCTGCCTGCCTCCATCTCTCTGAAATTTCCTGCTGGCACGGCCAAAATGCATCTCCTCCCTCTTTGTCCACAGGACGCCGTTGCACTGCGCAGCCTCCTGTAACGATACGGCCATCTGTGTGGCTTTGGTCAAGCACGGGGCTGCCATCTTTGCCACCACCTTCAGCGACGGAAGCATGGCCATCGAGAAGTGTGACCCCTACCGCGAGGGCTACAGCGAGTGCTTTAGTTACCTGGCAGGTGAGGAGGGGGACAGGGAGATTTGACTGGGGCGGGGCTGGGCGGGGGGCACGCGTCGAGGTCTGCAAAAGCAGGGGTTGGCTAGGGATGTCCAAAACAGCGTGGCCCCCCTCTTCCTTGCAGATGTGGAGCAGAACATGGGCCTGACGAACAACGGCGTTGTGTATGCCTTGTGGGACTACAGCGCAGAGTTCAGCGATGAGCTCTCTTTCCGCGAAGGGGAGCCTGTCACCGTGTTGCGCCGGGACAGCCAGGAGGAGACAGACTGGTGGTGGGCCTCGCTCTACGGCCAGGAGGGCTATGTGCCCAAAAACTATTTTGGGGTGAGTTTTAACCCTCTCTCTCTTTTTTTGAAGAGAGATTCTCTCAAAGTCTTACCCTGCACTACTACTAATAATAATAATTTGGCACCAAGTCAATTCTGAGTTACAAAGATCCCTTTCCAGGGTTTTCCAGGCAGAGGTTATTCAGAAGTGGTTCACCTTTCCCTTCCACTGGGGGCAACTTCTGGGCGGGTGCAGCTTTTGCCCAAGGCGACCCCGGCTGGCTCTCCTCGCAGGAGGCATCGTTGGGGAATCCCACTCCCGACCTCTGGCTCCACAGCCAGAGATGTAACTCACTGAGCTACTGAGACCAGCTGAAAATCTGGACTAGCAGCACCCACAGACTCTTTTGCCAAATGCCAATCTTCTCCCTCCAACTCAGCCGTTAGCACAGCAGGCGGTGCCACACCAACCCGCTGGCTGCTGAAAGAGAGACCCCACAGCACTTTGCTACAAACATGAGTCTCGGGAACTGGAGAGTTTCCACGTGGATTCTGAAAACGTGACCCACAGAAGAAAGGTCCTCAGATGGAATGTCATGGGCATGGCCGGTGTGTGTGTGTGTGTGTGTTGAACATCTCAGGGTGTGCCGCTGGCTCTCCTCAAGGCTTTGTGTACATGGTGAATGAGCAGCGAAACCTCTATGGCTGCGGGAAGCCACCACTGCAGCCGTTTTCTCTTACCTGCTGGTCTTCCTCTGATGGAGAAACCCAACCTGTCTTTCTCTTCCTCCTGCCAGCTCTTCCCCAGGGTGAGGCCCCAGCAGAACAAGGCATAGCGTGCGTCCCGGCCATTCGTGGAGGAACTGAAAGGATGTGTCCGGACAGGAACCAGGATGACACCACACCTTCTCCCTGCTGCTCCTGAGCTCCCTGCCTTGCGGGGAGAGCGCTTTGTGCCTCTTGCGCCTGTGGAGGTTGTGACAGTGACTGCAGAGGGGGACTCCCCTGCTTCTGATTGACTGGACCCTGAGCTCTCACGGGGCCCTGTGGGGGACGGATGACCTTGAATTGGGGGCAGGGAGTGGGAACCCACCTAGCTGCTGAACTCCTTCCCCTTTGGCCCTTCTCTCCCCTGCTTCCATATCCGACCGCACCACCTGGAGGACGAGTGATCCCCCCTCTTATGTGGCCCCTTTCTCAAAGCAAGGGTGTCACTACTCTGGACATGGAGGGGTTTGCCAAAACCAATGCAGGGTCCTTGTAGCAGACCCCTCCACCTTTTGGCTTGCACCTACACCCTTCACTGTGACACACTTAGGAGGCACCATGTGGGACAAAATGTTTTTTGATCAGCTGAACAGTTCAAACTCTTTCTTTTTCTCTCTCTCTCACACACACACACACACTCACACAAGTCCACAAACCTTCTCTCCCAGCCAGTGTAGGGCAGACTGGCTGCTTCTGCTGCAGCTTTAGCGCAAGAAGCTGCAGCGTGTTGAGGCGAAGGTACTGAAGGTGGAGACTTTCCCCTTTTCTCATGGAAGCTTGAAGTGTTTATCCCCCCTCCCGCCCCCCAAGGGAGGAAGGGTTCCTTCTGCACCCAGGATACCTGCTGAGGCGAAATTGCTCCCCAATGAATCAACTCACAGTCAGGAAGAGGAAAGGAGGCAGCTTCATTTTTAGCAGCCACTCCAAGTTTGTCCAACATTGGAAAGAGCCCCGACCCCATGCGGGAGAGGAGGGGGCCAGAGGAGCGCATCTGTAGGTCAAGCAGAATCAGGAGGCCTGATTGGGGGGGGGTGGAGAGCTGCCTTC